TTCAACAGTCCTGTGCTCTTTTTCTCAGGTGTACGAGAGAGGAACCAACGTGGACCAGTTTGTGACCCGATTCCTGCTGAAGGAGACGGCAAACCAGATCCAGTCCTTGCTCAGCTCCGTGGAAAGTGCGGTTGATGCAATCGATGAGCAAACCAGTCAGATAAGGTTGGCCAACATTTTTCTTGCTTTTGGTCCATCCCAGATTAAAATGCAAGCTGCCTTGCAACTTGCTGCCATTTCTAACCTTTGTTGTGCTCTTGAATTGTCAAACGTTGGGTCAGGGCTAACTCTACCGGAAGACACAGATCCCCTCCAGCACCAGAGTATGGCTTCCGGAATAAGGCAGAAAGTTATTACTTAGTTACTTGATTTGTCCTCGGTAGAGTAGCAGCTTCATTTATATGCCACTTCATGTCGAGCATGGGATATGGGATAGTAAACCAAGAGCCAGTGTGGTGCAGTGGTTTGAGCGTTGGACTATGATTCTGGAGATCAGGGTTCAATTCCTTGCTTTGATCTTGGACAAGTCACACTCTCTCAGCCCTGGAAAATCCCATGATAGATTTGCCTGAAGGTCACCATAAGTTGGAAACCACTTCCAACAGGTAGCCTGAGTTTTGATTTATCAAAGAGGAGTCGAAATAGTGTGTCACATGGAGCACTAGGTTTGTTTTAAACCCATACTCCAACCTATACGTTCTTCCATATAATCCACCCCGCGCAGACTCAGGTCCTCTAGGAAGAATTTATTGCAACCTATAAAAACTAGATTGTCTGCAACTGCCCAGAGGACCTTTTCGGCTATCGCTCTCAGGTTATGGAACGGCCTACCGGATGAGATCCGTCACATCACCACCTTAAATAGCTTTTAAAAAGCTGTTAAGAAGGATCTCTTCCGGCGTAGACAACTGGCCACCGAAATACCCTGATTTCTGTTAGTATTGTTTTAATTTATTTGTCATTTATTGTTAATTCTGTTATTTTTAAGTATGTTTTCAACTTTGATTGTTTAATTGTATTTTGGGGGGTGGGCTATTGGGGGACAGGATTGTATGTTTTATCGTGTAAGCCACTCTGGTTGTATTATACAGAGATGTGGGATACAAATTATTATTATTATTAATATTATTATTAATATTAATTAGTGGGAGGACAAAATGAGGGTATTGCAAGAAAATACTCATGCATATATTCATACCTGTTTATCTGTTTATCCTTGTCCAACTGCAGAGGCCTCCACAGTAAATCTAGCCACACTGTCATGGACACTTGGTACGAAAACCCTGTGCCTAATTATTCCACCAATAACAGAATCATGACCAAAGAACGCCGAAAAAGTTTCCAAACTGGTAAGTACTATGGTGGACACTGGGAAGCCAGCTTGGTTTGTAGTTTGCCAAAATCTGGAATGATCAATGGAGGTTTGAGAAGTGGGAGCTAAAGGCAGGTTTGATCCACGGAAATAAATGATGGAGGGAAAGTGTTCATCGCTCAGTGCTATGGAATTCTGGGAATTGCAGTTTGCTGCGGCACCAGAGCTCTCTGACAGAGAGAAGGCTAAATGTCTCACAAAACTACAATTCTATCGTCTTTGCTATCGTGCAAAGACTACGAACATGAATTGGATAAATCTTTGAAAACCTGGAAATAGACTGAGATCTGATAGTAAAATATTGGTGGGGGGAAGATGGTCAGGTCTAAAGAACATTTTGGATATAAAAAATATATCTTAGGATATAAAGTGATCATTTTAGACTCAGCTGCTTAGGTATAAACAGAAGTGTTTGAAGAAACTAATTTGTTTACTGAAAAATGATTATTTATAGGTAAAATATACAAGTAATAGACTTTGGATATTATATAATGAAGAATCTTTAAATGAAATGGACAATATCAACAAAAACAAGAAGGAAGTAATTCAACTACATAGAATTAATTTTTTTGTATTGTAAATGCATACAAGGTTTGATTAAGGTTAGAAAGGTGCAAATAACGACAAAGCATAAAGTGTTTATAGCGGATTATTATTGGGTTCCTTTCTTGATATTTTCTGATTGTTTGTTTTTTAAAGATGCATTGGGGAAACTTAACGTATATGTTTAGGAAGTGTGGATTTGTTGGCTGAATAAAAATTATATTTTAAAAATGAATTGGATTAATTACAATGTCATGTATCAGGTTTACATTATTGCAGTTACTGAATGGGATGCCAGGCATCATTTTTAAATTTGAGTTACGTGATTTTCTTTTTTAAGCTGCATCTGTTTTAACTTTTGTAAATTGAGGAAAAGGCAAGATATTAGTAGTAGTAGTAGTAGTAGTAGTAGTAACAACAACAACTTAAGGAAAGAGTACATCTCCTGCATTTTCTCAGCCAAAGGAAATTAAATCTTATGACACCCATTGCTTTCCAGATGGTCATTGAACTACAAGTACAATTACCAGTATTTCTATTCACTGATATATTTCTGTAGCCTGCAGTACCATCTTCAGTCACCAGGTGTCAGACTTCCCAAACTTTCCATAGAAACTTTGGTCCCAAACACACTGCAGAAATAATCCCGTTCGAGACCACTTTAACTGCCCTGGTTCAGTAGTAGGAAATCCTGGGAATTGTAGTTTGTTGTGGCACCAGAGTGCTCTTACAGAGAAGGCTAAATGTCTCACAAAACTACACTTCCCAGAATCCCCTAGCATTGAGCCAGGGCAGTCAAAGAGGTCTCAGACTGGATTATTTCTGCAGTGTGTTTGGGAGGAAAGTGAGCAAAGGGAACAGAACTAACAAGAACAAAAATGAGGGGAGGAGAGAGGGGATTTCCAACCCTTGCAAAGCTGGAAACTTTTGCTAGGCATCTAATGATGCAATTTCCTGCATACCAAGAAAGATACAAGAACAACCCAATCTTCAGTCTCCAAATAAGTGTCAGCAGGATGGCCAGATGCTATTAAACTTTTTCCCTGTTGTCCCTTCTGGCAAATGGGTTTATTTTCTCCTGTTTGCAAATGGATCCAGCACACCTGCAGTCCTTTCTCCAAAGTCATTTTCATGCCGCGTAATTGCATCTCTCTTTACAGTGTCTTCAGACACCAAGGAGGAAGGCTTGGAAGCTCAGATCAACCGGTTAGCAGAACTGATTGGAAGACTGGAAAACAAGGTGAGGTTATGGAAGGTTTTCTTTTTTAAATTGCATTAATGCAGCATTGAAGGAAGCATAGCCATGTTAGTCTGTTCCCTTTGCTCACTTTCCTTTGAGGAGCACCTTTGAGACTCATGGAGAAAAAGAAATGTCTAGCATAAGCTTTCAAAATGTAAAGGTAATTTTTCTTGGATTCGTCTGAAGGATGCGACTGAATGCATTGATATATTTCTGCATTTAATTCAGTCATGGAAAAGCTTTGTGTTGGGAGCGGGGTGGAAGGCGGTATAGATACTCTGTTGTGTATGTCTTGAGTTCTTGATATATTGAGTAAAATCACAAAAGGCCAGGACTATTTGCCTGCTAGGACACTCCATGGCCCAGGTTGAGAAACATATATATGGCACATGGATAAGTCGAGGGTAAAACCTAGGGGCATGTAACAAAGGCAAGGAAAACGATGCCAAAGAATTTGCAAAATTCCAGCAGCTATAACTATTTGTGCTCACTCTAAAAGACTGGATGGATGAGAGGAGAACTATGCTAAATGTTTGCTGTGCATTGTGTGATGGAGGCAACCAGACAGAAAGAAATTGCACACATGTCAAAAAGGATGAAAAATTAAACAGATGGTTTATTGCTCCTTAGTCCAAAGACCTTTGCAAACAAAAATCCAAGCTTTCATACAATTACGATTACAGAATCAACATTAAAACATTAAAAGTAGAATCAACTAAATAAATCAAATACGTACCTAAGCTTCAGATACGTGTCTTGCATTATAAAACAGATCAGATTGTAATAACAAAGAAAGAGGGCTTATTAACTATTGGTGTTAGAACAAAAAGCATTTTGTAGACTCATATCCTCAGGTTTCTATATCAGTTAGGATGGTCTCCAAGAACTTTTCTCTATGCCTAGTTGCCTTTGCT